TTCAATGTTTGTAATGGCTCAGCCATTCCCAGTCTTTATTCAAACCTAAATTGATTGTGTCTAATTTGCATATCAATTAGAGTTCAGCAGTTTCTCGTTGGAGTCTGTTTTTGAAGCTTTTCTGTTGTAAAATAGCCACCCGCAGGTCTGTCATTGAATGACCAGACAGGTTAAAGTGTTCTCCCACTGGTTTTTGAGTATTATGATTCCTGATGTCAGATTTGTGTCCATTAATTCTTTTGCAGAGAGACTGTTCGGTTTGGCCAATGTACATGGCAGACAGAGGGGCATTGATGACACATGATGGCATATATCACATTGGTAGATGTGCAGGTGAACAAGTCCCTGATGGTATGGCTGATGTGATTAGGTCCTGATGTCACTTGAATAGATATGTGGACAGAGTTGGCATCGGGCTTTGTTGCAAGGATAGGTTCCTGGGTCAGTGTTTTTGTTCAGTGATGTGTGGCTGCTGGTGAGTATTTGCTTCAGGTTGGGGGGTTGGTCTGTAAGCGAGGACAGGTCTGTCTCCCAAGATCTGTGAGAGTGAGAGATCATCTTTCAGGATAGGTTGTAGATCTCTGATGATGCGCTGGAGAGGTTTTAGTTGGGGGCTGAAGGTGACAGCTAGTGGTATCTGTTATTTTCTTTGTTGGGCCCGTCTTGTAGGAGGTGACTTCTGGGTACTCGTATGGCTCTGTCAATCTGTGCAGTGCAGTGAAAAAACTGCTGAAGTGAAAAAACACATCAGCCATGCCATCAGGGGCTCATTCCCCTGCACATCTACCAATGTGATATATGCCATCATGTGCCAGCAATGCCCCTCTGCCATGTACATTGGCCAAACCGGACAGCCAGCTTGTTGGAGTTGGGTTAGCATCAGGTCCAGAATAGCATTATGCTCAGGAACAGTCTTAGCAAAGATGAGAATGTTATCCAAATATCAACATGTACTCTGGATATTATCCTGGTTCTGAGAGACCACTCTCTGTAATACCTCAGGAGCAGAGACAAAGCCAAAAGGGAGCTGTTGATAGCAATATTCCCAAATGGTTTGCTGACAAGTCAATAACAACTGAAAACTTTCAGGTATTTGCCAGTAACCGGATTGGTAGTCCAACACAGAGAAAATCCGGGATCCACTTACCCACCAAGTCACCTCACTGAAGGCAAACACCTCACATTTTTATGAAGGTCCCTAAAATCTGTGCACAATTGAATATCACCACCCTTCTTGTATATGATCACAATGGGTGAGATCCAATCCTTCCACCTCCCAAATGATTCCAAATTCTGTTTGGATCTTCTCCATAAGTGCAGGAACGGTGCACACTTCCATGTTCAAATGCACCTGCAGAGAGTATGCATATCCCCATGCTGTCTCTGAATGATACTTTGCATATCCACTTCTGTTCTAGCCAACATAATCCCACCCAAGATATCCTGTGCAAGTTCATAATACCAAGATGTAAGGAAAATAATGGAACTGCATACGCAGCTGCGCCTTTAACAAAGTAAAACTTTGCAGTCAAGGCTATGCCCCTGTAGAGCACAAAGCATACAGCTTTGCCCACTGTCTGCAAGGCATACAAATTCTAAGCATTTATAGCTACCATTGTCAGCAACCATCCAGACTCTGAACTAACCCAGAGGGGAGAACATTAAGTTCAGCACCTGTATCCACCATGCACTTCAGCAGTATGCCATTAACTTCAGGATACCAGCTGCTGTGTCTTACCACATGTGAAAATCAAACTAAAGAAAACATCAGTAAAAGTGGTCTCATCCGGCTCCACAATCACAGGCTTCACATCTTTGTGAACCAGTGTACTGCGGTGCACTAATTTAAAAAGTGTCCTTCCTTCTCACAAGCCTGACTGGGCAGGCAGGGAAATTGGCCAAGTGACCCATACTATCACAGGAGAAACAGTGAGGAGCTGGCAACTTTCGCTACTGAGGCCATGGTATAGGAGTAGGTAGCATCGTAGGATTCTGGGTGATGGAAGTAGGAGGAGCAGCTGATGGCTTAAGAGGAGACACAAAGGTAGCAGTAATCTGAAACAGAGAAAACTTTCACCCCAAGCACTAGCAAAGGCCTCACTCTTAGCAACCGTCACATCAAAAGTTAGCATTCTCGCATCTTCAGCCAGTAACTGTTCATCCAGGGTGGTCAATCAGAAAAATATCCCTGAGCATGATCATCATAACATCCCCAAATTCACAGTCCCTGGCCCATCACTGCAAATGACATGCAAACTTGTGTATGGTTTTGTAGGGCTGATGGAGAGCTTCAAAAAACATTTTCCTCTTTACCAGTACAGAATCTCCATTGCCAAAATACTTGTTGCGGTGCTGCATAGTTGCATCAAAGGAGGACTGGGCTCCAGGAGCCCATCATAAATATCAACGCCATTACAGCCTAAGAAGCCAGGGTAACCTAGGCACATCGGAGAGTTGTATAATCTGCAGACAGTTCCAAAAATTCTGAATAAAGTATCACCATCGAAGGCTGTGCCGGCAGCATGGGTTGCAGAACAGAAGCACTAGTCGCCATGTTACACTCTGATACACCCCAGAATAGCAATCCAAAAAACCACCCCGAAGTAAGACATGCCAGTTGACTGTCAGTCAAAACATGTACTCACCATGAACTGGTAAGGTCAGCAACAGTCTGAATAAAACTTGATAACAGTCTGAATTGCAGATATGTAGCAGCGGGCTATGAGTAGCTGCACACACCCAACGCTAAGGCTCTGTGTGTGCGCACATAAACAGGAACAAGAACATTGAATTCAGGTAGCAGGAACCAGGAAACAAAACAGAACAGGGATCAGGAAGCAGGAAGGCAACACGCACACCAGTCATCACAAGAGGCATCGTGCTAATGTGTTGGACTGGGGGAAAAGGCCAGGATACAGCTTTTACCTACAGTAACTGATAAATCAGGCCCTACAGTCGGGAACTGATCCTAATCACATTCTGCTTCCAAAACACATGAAAAACGGCATGTGTGGGGAAACCCACTCCTGAAAAGGAGGCAGAAAGTAAATGTACACATTTGGGAAATGTGAAACATTCCCACCTGTTTGTCGGATACTGCTGAGTTCTGATCCACTTTCAGCAGCTCCACTTCCCTCCACGCCGACTGATACGCCTGAAGCAAAGCTCTTCTCCGAATCTTGGGCAAAGCTAAGTTATTGTCCATCTGAGAATAGCAGCAATGGAACTCTTGTCTCATTCTAAGCAATTCCTCTTCAGATAATGAAAGAGGCAGACTTAAAAGTCTCCTGTTAAAAAAGAAGAACAAACATACGCTATTCTGAGGTATATGCAAACTGGCACAGAGCAAAAAACAAGAACAAAAAAACAACCCTAGGATCTCTGAAGATAGTTTGAACCTGCAAAATGTGTTTCTCTTCCCAGGTGGCCAGATTCTCCGGATAGCAGGGTGTTAGGTGAGAACATGGCCTATACATTAGAACTGGTTCCCCCCCCCCCCCCAAAAAAAAATAAAAATTTTGGAAACAAATAAGAGGATTGTTCTATGTA